AAGCATTAAAAACACATATAACCAATTAAACTAGGACACTTGTACATGAGTCTCTAAAATAAAATGAGAAATGGTTTTTCCGTAAGAGACTTACGAGACTCTCTCACCTTTCTCTCTCTTCTTTTAGTATGTATTTATTATTTTTTAATCTAAGAGACTCTTTAAAAGCTTACCGATAAATATGCTCTAAGACTCTAAAGACAAAACCCCATCAAGCGAAATCTAATTCCAAACCCAAAAGAAAACTCGAATCTTTAACTCGTCCATCGATTAAACCCTAACTTTCGCGAGTACGACGATGAACAAGTAGAAAGGCATAATCCAAGTAGAAAGACATAGTATGAACATGTTCTTCGATTAGTAGGATCTTCTCAACTCGGCGCTCAACTCGGCGAACGCGTCTGATTCTCTCAACTTGGTGAAAGCTTCTGATCTTCTCGACTCGATGCCGATATTAGTAACTCGGTGTGTGAGTGAGTATGTATGAGATGAGCTTGGAGGATACGTCATATTCCTCGCTCAATTAAAATACTGGGCCGGACTTAGACCCACAACTAAACCCCTAACAAATTCCTCCCAACATTTATCATACTAACAAATTTATGAACATTGATAATAGGAAACAATTATGCGAGATCGTTCAATTTTCTATCTTATTTTTAGTTTATCATTAGAAGTTTTTATTGACATTGTTTAGTAAACTACAAAATTAACAGACGATTAAAACACTTTTTACATGAAAAATAAACGATTTATATACCATAAGAGTAATTTATCATATGTTATATTTATATTTGATTTGATAGAGTATAGAATAGTTTTAACTTTTTTCAAGGTTTGATTTGGTTAGTACTAAAATGAATCAGCTTTATTTAATTCCATTGATTGCAGATACCACATTATTGGAATAACGGTTTGAAAATAACGTTTTGACCATTCAACGAAATTAACACCATATATTTTATAATAATACTTGTAAAATTTTAAATTAAAATAATTTAAAATAAAAATTTCTAATAATTTTATTGATTTTAAATCGATGTTACAAAGTCTATATACAGAACTTTCTAAAACAAACTATTACATAAATAAGTATATATATGCGTTATATATTTAAGTAAGTTTAGGTATCAAAATAAATATTCGTTTAGATTTTTTTTTTTGTATTTTTAAGTAATGATTAAAGTTCATAATATTTTTATTTGGATATATTAAAATTTACGTCAAAATAACGTTTACAAACCGATAAGATACGAGCTTATAGTCTGCGGAAATCGACTAACTAAGCTTAATATTTCAGAAACTAAAAAGCTAAAACATTGGAAATACGAACAAATAATCGAAATTAAAACTAACGCGCTAAAATGAAACTAAGCTAACCATCGTACTCAAACTGTTTTAAAGATCCAACTAGAAAATGAAAAAAGAATAGACGTCACCGGAAAACTTGCTAATTTTGTTTACATACGTTTTCTTAGAAAGAAACGAAGATACTTGATTCTAAAATATAGTATTGTTTAAGATAACCTTCTATTAGGGCTGCTTTTGAGTTGGTTAGTCATCTC